AACCCCATTAACATATCAGTCTCTTTCTGGAATTTACTCTTTTTTTAATCTGTTAGGACCACCATTTTATTTGTGGTACCTTAGAGTATATTTTGGTAACAGAGAGCAAATGCCCTTCATCCTCATTTCTCAAACTATGAAGCATTATTCAACTAGAGGTGCATTATTTTCTAAATTAATTTCTAAACAAAATCATTGGTTTGTCTTACATATTGTTTATGTGTTAATATATGAGTGACTATTATCTTTATAATATGACTTTTCCCCATCTTAGTCATGGTCTGTCTTCCCATTTTGTTTTTTTATGTTCTTTAACAATAATATATCATATTACTTATATAAATAGCACTTTTCTTAATTCCTCGGTGTTTTACATTTTTGTTACTATTATGGATGGGGTCTTTTTTCTCATTATATTTTGTAACTGACTTATTAGGATTTGTGTATTTATTTTATATTTATGTCTACTATCATCTAAATTCTTCTTATCATCATAGTATTTTTCTTGTCATAAATTTTATTTACCAAAAACATAGTCCAATGTGTATAAGGCAGAAACTCTTAGAAACACCAAGAGATTCTGGGGGAAGGAAAACAAAAATGCAAATTCTCTTTTAGAGTTTGACAAATAAAATATAGAAAAATATAAGTAAGGATCTTGTTAATAAAGAACTTTCTACTTAAAAGTTCCCCTTATACCTTATGGAACAAAAACCAAGTATGTGGGTAGTATTAAGAAAACAATAATAAATTCTACCAAGTGGAAATTGAAAAGGTTACATTCTTTGACTATGATGCAATAAAATTAGAAATCCAGCAATTAAAGGATAACCATAAATAATGATTAATTTTATGGAAATTTTATGACTGTATGGTAATTTTAAGACACTTTTCTAAATAATTTATCCTTCAAATTAATTTACTTTTTTAAGAAAATAATTATAAATTATTTAAAGATTTTAAGTCTTTAAATTACATATTATTCAAGGATTAACAAAATGAGATTTTATTTAAAGATTAACAAAAAAGAAAAAAGAAGTCAACTAATTATAAAATAAAACAATAATCCTCCCAAAATAGAAATAAAACTCCATGTCAGTTTTTTTTTAATAAATTATATGGCTAAATTGACAAACCAGTCAACTAATTATAAAATAAAACAATAATCCCCCCAAAATAGAAATAAAACTCCATGTCAGTTTTTTTTAATAAATTATATGGCTAAATTGACAAACCAACTGATATAAAGCAAAAACAAAAATATACAACATTAAGAAAGAGAAAAGTCATATTTTTCTCAGAAAACCAAGAAAACTGATGATACTAGGAAACACCACGTACAAAATTTAAGCCAATACATTTTAAAATCTAAATTAAATATTTTCATAGGGAAATTTGTTATCATTAGCAAAATTGATTTAAAAGAGGTTGAAACTAATTACCAAGAAGACATTTACAAGGTTGTTAAAGACACGCTACTAAGAATAATCCAGACCCAATGGTTACAAGTAAATCCCTTGAAGGGACTGATTATTACGTTGTTTGTAACATTTCAGAATATAGAAAAAGATGGAAAGCTTGCATGTCCCTAATATCAAAACATGAAAACTTAACACAAAAAACAAAACTATGAATTAGTCTCACTTATAAATATGTTAATATGTTAAATAAATAGTAGGAAATAGAATTCAAGAGACTATTAAAAGGATAATAAACCATGATTAGGAATGATTTATTCTAAGAAGGCAAGGATGGTACATATTAGGAAATTTATTAATGTAATCAATATATTATAATAGAATAAAACAGAATGGTCATTATTAATAAACATTTTTAAGACATTGGATTCATTATCCATTTTGAGTAGTACCTAAATTTTAACAGGAATGGAAGCACACTGTGGCTCAGTTGGCTGGAGCATCATCCCATGCACCAAAGGGTCGCTGGTTCGATTCCCAGTCAGGTCACATACCCAGGTTGTGTGGATTTGATCCATGGTGGGGGCACATGAGAGACAACTGATTGATGTTTCTCTCCCCCCTCCTCTCTCTCAGAAAAATAAAAAGGAATGGAAGGGAACTTCTTAAACATATCAATAATGTTCTTATTTTAAGCTGTTTAAACATTTATTTGAGAATTGTAATTAGTATCACTAAAATGATTTGGGATGCATAATCAATCAGAAATCACAGCCTCTTTAGAACAGCCTAAAACAATGCTATATTCAGATTGAACTTTTCATCTTATATGATGCTAGACTTTATTTCATATTGAGGTGAGAAGATAAGTGTGTGACCTCACAGTGTCTGTGTATGTCTCAGAACCACTCAAGTGGAACTTTATGGACAGTTTGCACCTGCATTTCTGTTGACAGTGCATCAGAGAAGTAGGGAAGGAAGTGTTCCTCTAGCTAAAAATATTAGTAAAGCAGAAATTAATTATAACTAAAAGCTAGCGCTCAGAACTGGACATTCTACTCACCAAAAGTAGTAAGTACCTTCTTTTTTGGGAATGATTGGTAATTGAATTTTGCCCAATTATCTTCTAGGAATGATTGCCTTGAAGTCGTTAATTTTGTATTTGTTAAACTCCAATCACAACGTGCACAGTATTGTGGTAGACATAACAATGGATAATATTGGGTCCACACCCTCTAGAATGAACCATAGTTTTTATGAACTATGTTACAAGGTATGATTTTCAGGTGGCAGTGGTTTCAGGGAGGTAATGGCATCAAAGCTGGGCTTTCTGGACTAAGTAGAATTTCCACGTGTGAAGAGGAGAAAGAAGAGCTCTCCAGCCTAGGAGAACAGTGTCAATAAAAGGATGGAGGCATAAGCTGGAGGATATGTGTGTGTCATTGAAAGGTGCTCAAACCTAGTCAAGGGTTAGGGTTTCTTGAAGAATTTTTTATTTGAAAGAAAGAAAAGAAAAAGAAAAACTCCAGGGGCCCCACCCTTGGAGACCTTAACTCAGTGAAGGTGAGAAAAGGCCCAGATACCTATGTTTTCCTAAAAGCCCCATGATGACTCTGGTGTGCAGTTAGGGTTGAGAGCCTGTGGTGTGGTCTCATATGTGACGCAGCTGTAGGGAATATGGACATACTGTGGGAGATGACGCTGGAAAGATGTTGGAGCCAAATGATAACTGAGTCACATTGTTTAGGTATTGTGGATCCATTTGTTTTCTTTTTTAACTTCTATTACATCACCACCATCTCTCCCTTAGATATCAACCAGCTATTCCTTAAACCATGGTGGCGAACTGTTTTTCTGCCCAAGGGCCATTTGGTTATTTATAACATCATTTGCGGGCCATATAGAATTATCAACTTAAAAATGAGTCTGCTATATTTAGTCAAACGTTTCATTAACTCGCCCCGAAGGCCTTGGCAGGGCCCGACCAAATGATTTCTTGGGCTTTATACAGCCCTGGGGCCGGACATTCCCCATCCCTGCCTTAAATAAAACTTGACTCCTTGCATGAATTCAAAGCAAAACATGCTAAATGAGATGAGGAAGAGGAACCAGTCAAGAATCTCATTAGATATTGCTATATTATTACCCCAAAACTTAAAACAACCACCATTTTATTATCACTCACAATTGTGTGGGTTGACTGGACTCAGCTGGGTAGTTCTCCTCCTCCAAGTGATATGGCAGGGGACACAGTCATCTAGACCCTAGATTCTAGAGGATCAAGTGGGCGTGAACATCAAGATGGTCCACTCCTATGGCTGTTGGTTGAGATCTCAGTTGAAGCTGTCGACCGGAACATCTTGTGGGCTTCTCACTGCAAGGCAGCTGGGTTCTCAGAGGAAGCATCTCAAAAGCAAGCATTCAGCCAGGTTGAGGCTGCCAGAATTCCTGTGACCTACCTAGTTGTGGTAGTCTCAGATGTCATTTCCACCACCCAAGGCCAGCTCAGATTCAGTGGAAAGTGGATTAGACTCCATCCTCTGATGAAAGAAGCAATGTGTACATACAAGGAGAGAAGGAAATTGATGGCAGCCAGTTTTGGAGACTTATTACTGTAATCTTAATGTGCCAAGTCCTCTACCATCAAAATACATAAAGCAGAATATCAGGAATTTTAGACATCAGCAAAAATACAATTAGACAAAACAATAAGTAAGGATAAAAGGAATGTGAATAATATAAAAGGCTTATGTAATAGATATGTGTGTTGCATTTCTTATCTGACAGTAAAGAACACACCTTCATTCCAGGCATCCATAAAATGTCTGCTCCCCCCAGAAAGAAGCCTTGAACCCTTACGTGCTCTTATAAATCTGAAGCCTTAATGATATGCTTTCCTCATCTCTCAACCTGGTAGAAATAATTACAGTTGTGTTTCATCTATTATTATACAGGGCTCTGTATCAAGCGGGGTTCTTCCCATTTGGGAATCCCTTCCTCTGGATGAATTTTTTGCACCTGGTATAAACAATTGGGTTACACATGTCTCTTAAGTTCTTACTTTTTAAAATTTGTTTTCTGAAAAGATCAGCATTGAAGGAGGCTTTATTTTAATTCCCCAGAGTCTCGTGATCAGAGAAGTTTTGACTTATCCAGGGTGCTCTCTAGACTGCAGAGTCACATCCAGCAGCCACTGGAATCATCTTCTAACTTCCCAGTAATGCTGACCTGGGAATTGAGCTGCAGTCATTGCCAATACTACATGTATTGTTTTTGTAAGCCCCTTAAGAAAAAGGTAATCCCCTTAAGGCAGTTTTATTTTCTAAGTCTTTGCTTTGCTTTCTGAAATGCACATATTGTACCCTCCTAGTAAGACATGCAGAGTCTGAGGTAGGAACCCAGGTTGTGGTGGTGATGTCATTTCCTGGCCTGTCAGCGATGAGTCCTCGTTACCTATAGCTTCTATCGCAGTGTCCTCATCTGATCTTTCGGAATCGAATCTTGGCATTAAGCCACCCGGGATGAGGAATCAAAGCAAACAGCCGTCTCCCTCAGTAACGCTCGGCCCATTTGCCGTTGCAGGTCGTCACGCTGTGGTACCGGGCCCCCGAAGTCCTGCTGCAGTCCAGCTACGCCACCCCCGTGGACCTCTGGAGTGTCGGCTGCATATTCGCAGAAATGTTTCGTAGAAAGTAAGAAATGCCTTTGCTTCCCTCTCTCTTCCTTGGAAAGAAACTGGCTGGGTCTTGGGTCATTTAAGAAGCAGCACAGCCTTTCTGTTTCACGTAGGGTCACAGTTCCCAGATCCACCTGCTTCAGGCTGCCATGACCAGGCCAGCCCTGAACCCCCTTCTAGTCCTTATGGCATCCTGTTGTCTGACTGTGCCTTCCAGCTCTAAGAACTCTAGAAAAACACGCTACAGTACAATTTGTTTTGTTTTGTTGGTGATAATAGGACATAGTGAACATGAAGCGTGTTGATGGTATTTTTCAGTGAGGAAATAGCTTCAAGGTGGACTGTGTCCACAGGAAGAGGACCTGGGCTAAGTATGTGGAAATTTTGATGGTGAGAAAAAAACACACAATGTTTAGGCTGAAGAGGAACAGGCAAGGAAGATGTCAACACTATTTCAGAATGCTTTAATCCGTGGTTCTCAACCTTCTGGCCCTTTAAATACAGTTCCTCATGTTGTGACCCAACCATAAAATTATTTTCGTTGCTACTTCATAACTGTAATGTTGCTACTGTTATGAATCATAATGTAAATATCTGATATGCAGGATGGTCTTAGGCGACCCCTGTGAAAGGGTCCTTCCACCGCCAAAGGGGTCGCGGGCCACAGGTTGAGAACCGCTGCTTTAAATGCTGTCATGTGGAGGAGAGATTAGGCATATTTGGGCAGGAGTGTGAGCAGGACGAGGACCAAAGATATTAAAATTACAGAAATAAAGATTTTTGCTCGGGGGGGGGGGCAGGAATCTAATGAAGAAGAGGTTGGGGTTCATGAAAATAGTGCGTTCTCATTAGGTGTCCAAGAAGAGGCTGGACCACCACCCGGAGGTGTTTTCAGTGGAATTCACAGAGTGGATGGGTGGGATGACCTCAGGGCTCCTCTGACTCCAAGAGTCTGTGATTTGTTTGATTTTCAGGATGTAAGAAATAACCAAACAATATAATGAAGATCTGCCAGGAAAATAATTCTTACCTAGGTACTAAATTCAGCCTGCTCAAAATTAAACAGAGAACCTAATTGTAATCTAATCTCTCCTTGTTTTCTATTTTTACTTCCATGGGAAAATGTGAGTTGAAAAGCTGAGTATATATTCCCATTGGGCATGTAATGTTCAAAATGAAGCTACATGATCGCTCACAAGAAGAAGTGGTCAGCCATTGCTTGTTTGCTTGCTTGTTTGTTTGTTTGAACCAAATGAAGTTTTGTGCATATAATACATTTTGAGACCTATTTCTAGAACTCAGCAGATTTTTCTGTAGCTCACAAGAGGGGATCATGGCAAGGAAATCAAAGTACACAGATGTGTAATGCAGGCCTACTGTGTGCCAAGTTCAGGACCAAACCTCTTCCATTATGTTATCTTTTGATTCCGCACAATAAGAGACAAGTGAGGTATTGTGGTAAATTTATTTGTCTAATGTCAAGCAGCTTTAAAAAAAAAAAAAAGTAGCAGGGGTACGATTCCACAGGAACTCTGTGAGCTCTAATCCAATGTTGTTTTTCTACCAAAGAGGGAAGATAAAACATAATATTGAATTGCAGTGTTTTGCCAGGCAGGCTGCATACAGGCATACCTCCTTTTATTGAGCTCACAGATGTTGTTTTTTCATCTTTATTATTGAAAGTATTACATATGTCCCCTTTTTTTCTCCCATTGACCCCTTATAGCCCTCCCCCACCCCCTACCCCAGGCCTCTACCACCCTATTGTCTGTGTCCATGGGTTATGCATACATGCATACAAGTCAGATGTTGCTTTTTGTTTACAAATTGAAGGCGAGACCTTCCCACCAGCAAAAAGATTATGACTCGCTTTACTGGCAGTACTCGGTTTATTGCAGTGGTCTGGAACCGAACCGCAATATCCCTGAGGTTTGTCTGAAGTGGTTTTGGAAGCGTGGTCCTTGGACCAGCAGCAGCAGCATCACTGGGGACCTGGTGGGAAACACAGAGTCTGAGGCCCCACCCCAGAACTATTGGATTAGAAGCTCTAGGGCTAGGGTCCAGCAGCCTGTGTGTTAACAAGCCCTCCGATGATCCTCACTCACCCTCCATGGTAAGAACCACTGTGTTGGATGACAGGATCACCAGGGATGGGCATTCTTTAAATCCGGGGTGAGGAACCTTTTCTCTGCCAAGGGCCGTTTGGCTCTTTATAACATCATTCACAGGCCATACAAAATTATCGACTTAAAAATTAGCCTGCTGCCGAAACCGGTTTGGCTCAGTGGATAGAGGTCGGCCTGCAGACTGAAGGGTCCCAGGTTCAATTCCGGTCAAGGGCATGTACCTGGGTTGCGGGCACATCCCCAGTGGGAGATGTGCAGGAGGCAGCTGGTCGATGTTTCTCTCTCATCGATGTTTCTGACTATCTCTCTCCCTTCCTCTCTGTAAAAAATCAATAAAATATATTTTTAAAAAATTAGCCTGCTATATTTGGTCAAATATTTAATTGACTCACCCCTAATGCCTTGGCAGGGCCAAACCAAATGATTTTGAGGGCCTTATACGGCCCGTGGGCCGGACGTTCCCCACCCCTGCTTTAAATGTTCAGCTCTCAGGTTCTCCCTTGAAAGTCTAATTCTTTACTGGGCTGAGGCCAGGCATTCTTGTTTTTTAAAGCACCTCGTGTAATTCTTTTCATCAGACACGTGTGGAAAACATTGGGTTAAAGGCTTATGGTCAAAACAATTTCTGTCAATATTGTAGGGTGTGAGTTAGGACTGTCATTCCAGTTAATCCCAGGAATAACTTGGTGTAGCTGGGAATTGATTAGAGAAATGTTTATTGGAATTGCATTTATTTGTCAAGAATTGTCCTCAAATGTAAAGATTGAGTCCTTTTGTTATGGCAGGAGTGTGATTAGTTATTTTTCAATAGTACAAGACGTGAACACCACTCATAATTGATGACAAAACCAATTTTCTTCTGAAAAATGTGAAAATAAATATAAAATTTAAGCTACATAGTGTTAAACATTCACTAGTAAGGGATAATGTGAAAATAAATATAAAATTTAAGCTATATAGTGTTAAACATTCACTAGTAAGGAATTTGCTGTATTTGTAAGTATAGGTAGTCACCCCCTATGGAAATTTTTATTTCATAGTGTTAATACATTTCCCCAGTGAGTTGGTAGTATAGATTGGCAATCTGGTTCCCAGTCTAGCTTGCAGAACCCTATATAACCTGCAACATATATGAAACATTATTTGTACTACTTCATCAAAATCTATTTTCTATTTATTACATTTTTTCATAGGGGAAAATTCATTGTATATTCCACTCCAAAATGACAGGATTGTGTTCTCATCCTAACATTGGGCCTGGGAAGAGGGACTCAGAGAAAGGCTCCTTTGATAATAGCAGCAACAGTCTCTTCAGTTTGCCGGGAAATTGAGATATTGGGTAGAGACCCATTGGCCCTTCAGATGTGCACAAAAGAAAGCCTTACACAGAAATAGTAAACTGAGAAATAATTGCCTCTAGGGGAAAACAATATCAGATTCCAGGGCCGCGCGCCTTTAAAGCTGAGGGGGAATGAAGCAGGGCCTGCCACACACCCTTCCTGGGGAGGACACCTTGTCTCCTAGATAGTTCCTGTCAGTTTGGCTGTGACCTTGCATTCAGCCATGGGATCTGACCCTTGTTCCTGCTCAGTTCACGTTTGGCATTTCCTGTGATAACACTCAGATATCAGAATGTGCATGCTTCTTACTTATGCCAGATGTGTTCTGGAGTCCATCTTTCAGCTTGACCTGGTTCTGACCTGACTTTTGATTTAGTATTGACCCACATGTGGAGTGTCCAGCTGAAAAGTCATAAGCCATAGATTCTAAAAGCAGACTTCCATAATTTTGTCATCTCTTCATGGTTTTTGCCATATTCTTATGACAACTATACATACTTAATTTTTACCCTAAATCATTACTTTTATATTTAGCCTCATCTAAGGAAAAGTACATAAAATCACAGATCTGTTGAGCCAGTTATTTATTTATCTAATATTCACTAATATATATATATATAGTATAACCATTAAAATTATTAAGAAATCTAGTCCAGGTCCAACCCCTGAAATCATTTCATACCATCAGTGGTACATGTCACATGTTGGAAACCCTGTATCAGGTGTTTTTCATTTAGTCTACAAATAATTTATTGAGTGGTTACTATATGCAAGACGCTTCTCTAGAGGATTAACTTAAATCCTGGTGGGGAAGAGAGGCCAGAGCTGAGGTAAAAGCTCTGAATACGTGTGGGGTTCTAGAAATGGGGATAATGAGAAGACTAGAGGGAGGAAAGACATTTCTCAGTGGAAGGCTTCAAGGTCATACAAGGCTCACCATCCTCCATAACATAGAGAGAAAAAAGAAGCTCAGGCCGTAACATGGATCTGTCATGTGGCAAACCCAGGGCTGGGCCCTTCCCTTGCATTATCTCATTAAACCCACATTCATTCTGAGGACTATTACCCAGTTTCCAGATGGCGAACCAGAGCCTTCCCCCAGGAGGATAAAGAACGTGCCCATGGCACACAGCTCTCAAGTGGCTGAACCACGTTTGATCCCAGGTCTGCCTGACTCTAACTTTGATTTTTCCACTCTGCCATGTTTCTGCCCTTGCTGTTGTTTTACCTATTAGGCCATATTTTTTTCTGGAATGTTCTATATGTTATTACAATGTAGCAGCAATGATATTTTAGAGAGGTCAAGAAGCAAACCACACATTTAATAGCTTTGATTTCTAGTCTCTTCCATATTGCAAAGGTTGACCAGTTCTCTGTGATATTAAGGGGTGCGTGCCTTCTGTTCTACAATGAAATACCTAGGAGAAGTGAACTCAGCAAAAAAAAAAAAAAAATCTTAGGACAGATGGTTGCCAAAGAGCCAAAGAGTTTAAATACCATCTGTCACTATTATCTGGGTTTAATAATTGCCCACACTGACCCACAGTAGC